CCTGAACTACCGTCAATCAGCATCCTCAGCGGCTCCAAACTCGGTCCATACACCACCTTCAAGGAGTCAAAGAATTCCTTGTGTTGGCGGCGTTCGGCGTAGCATTCTATCTGCTTCGCCTTCTCCGTCCCCCACGCATTTTTAATGCGTGGGGTCTGCCACATGTGCAGCAAATGCTGCATTCACACCAATGCGCCAATCGTCGCGCAGTCTCATCAAACTAATCAAGCCGCTTACAGTTTGCGAGCCCGATGGTCTCCTCGGTAGCAGCTGTCATCTGGTCACCAATGTGGTATCACAGGTTGCCCAATGTGGCTATGCATTCCACATTACACAGACGTGAAGCGATGGCCTTCTCCAGCTCAATACATTTCGCCACAGTACCGATGGAGAGAATGTTAACTTTACGCCGATTCACGGAGGGAATGCAATACATAGTTCTACGAAAATACATGTGCAGTTTGGTCCGCACCAATTTATGATCAGTGCCAGACTCAGCTCCACGCAATACACGTGTCATACGCACTTCAGGCATATCACGCTGACGTCGAGCAGGTGAGCTTGACCACTCCGTCGGTGTGTCCAAGTTGCTATATCACTCGCACTCAGTGCAAACCGAATGCTCGTGATAGTCAGGCCGTGAGTGGCACCCAGTGAGAGCAGCCTGTCACCACTCGCATTCACTGAACCAATGCCATGCGGACCGATGACAACTGTCCACACTGATGCATCATGCCCGATGCGCGCGTTAAAATCACCCAGCAGAAATAGTCGGTCACTCCTCGGCACGGACAGTATCATGGAAGATAACTGAGTGTAGAACTGAGCACGTGTGTCATCCGTATAACACATGGTCGGACGGTACGTGCTTATAAAAGTGGTAAACTTACCTCTTCCGAGTCGTAGACGAGCAGTTATCAGTCACGCGCTGATGTCCGTTGGTTCATCCACCAGGTAGCAATGAAGGCGATCAGATATTGCAAATCCGACCCCATGTTCACGTGGTGCTGAGGGGGCGTTGCTCGCTGTTGTGTCGCCGCTGACGCCTTCACCCCGAGTGCAAGCAATCCAAAGGCGAGCCGGAAAGAGACTTGATTACATGAAATCACATTTGATTATATAGTTTTGAAGGTAAAAAGTAAGGGAACTACTAAACTACACTTGAGCCAACCAACAGAAGGGAAATGTCAATTGCAACGGGCGAATAAGCAACCGTGTAGTCGAGAGCGAATCGCATATGTCCTTAAAAATAGCATCATGGGACCCCAAGAGTAAAGCGAATATCCATTTACAGTGACGGGCACCGGCCAATCAGAACAGCGAAATGTAGCGTTTAAACAAATGTCACGAAACAAACGAGAATAAGTGCAGGCTCAAAAATTAAAATCTAGTCACAATAATTGCGTGACAGCTAAATATCCTTTTAAGGTAACCATGTAGAAAAGTGATGCGGAGAAAAACCATTGGAATGTGTTCTTGCAAATGCACTGCTGAAGATGACACGGAGATGTGCGTCCATTAAAAATGACGTGTGTGTACCAATCGGGCTAGCACAGTGGAGCGTTTAAACAACAGTCAAGAAGTAGAAAATAGGAAGAAAAAAGAATGGATATTAAGCTCGTTTACCAAAAAAGGAATGTCAAATGGCGGTTCTCCTAACTCCCACCCAGTAAAACCTTTAGCCAGCACCTGCTGCATGCAACTTACCTAGCTCAGCAAGCCGGGTCTCACAGAGCACCACAATATCGATGTTGTACCGCACCAATTCAATGGTGACCAGTGCAGTGCGTCGCTCACTCGAGTTCTGGTCCAGTAGTGTGTGCACGGTCCAGCACCTGATACTGAGTGCTTTGCGCGCAGGCATACGATTGCATTAGTGGACAATCGCACGCGAGGTGGCGGTTGGGCTTCGGAGGTTTGTTTGAGGGACTCCACCCGGAGCCTTTGGCTCAATAGCCTGACTCACAATGCAGTGGGTGGTTTGGGGTTTGCTTGATGGACTCCGCCCGGAGCCTTTGGCTCAATAGCCAGACCCACAAGACGGTGAGGAGCAGATCCAGCTCAGGAATGTGATTGCAGAGACAGATTGGGTTCTGCTTGACGGCCGTCACACGCAGCCTTTGAGGTACTGGAACAAATCATATATGTTTTGCGACTGTAGTAGGATAGACCTGCGACCACGGCCAGACGCAGGAGGGTTTTGGAGGGTTTGCACCAATTTGATCAGGGGCTGCCTGACTTGAGGCGGGCAGGAGCAAGCCATTTAGCACGCGGAGGTGCCCACCCACTGTCAGAGACAATGCGTGGCGCTCGTGCTCTACGTCAATCCAACTGTGAGCTTATAACCCGTAGACCTGTTGTCTCCCATGGCTAGGTTTTACCGGGAGCAGGGCCATCGATCACTTCCTAACCTCCGAAGAGGATGGACTAGGACACTGGCAGAGCGCCCACACCTGACAAGAAAACGACTCGGGTCCTCAGCCAAAGCCTTCGATTAAATGTACACCTGAGAGGCAGCGGGTCTAGAACATGGTCAGTTCAGTGACTCATGCGGATTGTTGTCCTGGATCTTAGCAGAGAGAAGGACGTAACCCAACTCCCACTCAGCGGTCGTCACGTGGAGGTGTCCAGGACATGAGTAAATGGTACAACAGTACCAGCAGTGGGTAGAGCATCTGTCAGGATCTAGACCCTACCAGCCTTAGCGCACCATAGGCTCTCTCACAGCCATTATTAGAGGTAGGATAAGTGGAAAATGTGAAATTATTGTTCCAGCGTGTCCTCTTGTATACCCATATAAATGAATCGGCGAAAAGCTTCCAGAAAAGTATGGAATCGAATGGAAAAAGACAATTGATTTTGGGACATCCTAATACTAAGGACTGGATGGTCTTAAAGAATACAACTCATATCACGCAAACCAACTGACTATTGCCGCACATGTGATCAATGGAAGTTGAGGCCAAATGGAGAGAAAGGTTGGGAGCGGTGCCACACCATTCCGGTAAATCCTACGTTCTGAAAAGTGAACAAGTCGGGGTCCTCGGAAAAAATGACGCACTGTTGCAAAATTACTCGTGGTAGCCAAAAGATCAGGAAGCGGGAAGCGACACCATAACAAAATTCATGGATCTACGGAACCAAAGCAGATCAGAGGACCAAATGATGGCAAATAACGTTTCTCAATCAACAAAAATTAATTAACTACAACATTACATCAACCATTTGAACTGATGCTTCGCTGCCATACAACCATGATGACCTATGGAATAAGGAATAAAAGGATGGAGAAAGGGGGGACTTACCTGAAAACCTGGATGCCCTAAGCAAAAATTCAGGGTCAAGGCGCCTACACCTTGTGTTAACAACATACCGTCACAAATAGCTGGCTATCGTGTAAACATAAGGCGGCATCGGCAAGACAGCTTCCTTGCGGCTTTCACTGCCACGAGTCATAATCAGCCATTACCCCGCAGATAACTCAGCACCAAGCACATTGTAAACAGGCAGTCCGACTAGGAGACGACAGCAGACGCGCCACTAGTGTCGGCTGCAAGATATGTCCTGTAAAGTCACAAGCAAAGCACAAGGCGATTTAGGTAGACTCCAGCTTGGAAAGCGACACGGACTGACGGCACCCAGTTTGGTCGTCAGTGACTTCACCCGCTGCCAGGTCAACTTCTGTCCACCTCGAGCGTTGCGTCACCCTATATCTGGCAGTCTAAACAAGGCCCTCCTAGGTAAGCGGTGACCAGGCATACGTATTATGTGGGCAATCCAAAACAACTTATTCAGTGTTATTTGTTGTTCTAGGGAGCTAGTATGATTATCACTACCTAGTACTAGCTTAGGTAGACAGCCACTACACTTCCATTCCTGGATATGTGTGGGCTGTCTGCTTGAGCCTAGCTGCGAGGAATCTTCACTAAAAGACATGATGATGTATAAAACTGCGGCTGCAGGACCATCGCTTGCTACAGATTTGAAGAGGATGGGTATCTACAATTGTCTGCGCCAGTGCGACATCCTCTGTAGCTGGATCTAGAGAAAAAAGGTCATGAAATATGTCCTAAAGATGTTGATGCGATTTAGTTAGTCTAACAGGAGTGGGGATAGTCAGGAGTAAGCGAATGAACCGACTTCAACAGTTTGATAAATCGGGTGAAAGAAGGAAGGGATGGTCACTGCTGTATTGACAACAAACAAAGGCACATACCGATTCCGTGATTCGCAACATGAACACAAGATGTTCTACTATGAACTCTTGGAAGGTTGCAGTTCACATCTGATGTAGTTCGCATTGTCACTTGAGGTCAGCGAAAAACCAGATGCACAGGAGGCTCTGTCAATTAGATACACAGATCAACTGGCTAAATTATGCAACACGAAAGGCCGCCTCGCTCGATGTTAGGCGTATAAGCACAAACGCCTTACGACTAGTTCATGCCGCGCGAAAGTTGTGAAAAGCTAGCAGAGTGAATAATGAGGTGCTGCGCTTCCGATCGCAGTCATAGTTTGTCGCTCAACGATTATAAAGCTCCATAGTGTCTTTGACTTACCGGTTACCGGTAGATTGAAGAAGAAACGATGGAAAAACATGGAGGTGAGCAGCGTGTTAAAAAAGTTTCGACTATTTGAATGCGAAATGGAAACCGGTCTAAAGCGTGATAATCCGCCACGCATGCAAGAATGCTGGTCGCTGACAGCGCGCTTGTTAGTTGCCTTACAGTGATACACGAGTTTTCAAACAAGATAACACGATCTGGTTGAAAGCACGCTGCTTGAAACCTGTGTTTGGATGCTCAATCGACCTACAAGGTCCAATGTGAGTGAGAAAACATGCATATGATTATTGGCAAAATAAATTTTGCACACGTTTTCCTCGAATGCGGCTAGCACTGAACATTTGCCAACGAAGTACGACACGATATGTGAGAGGCAAGTAGGTGAGCTTTATCAAATTCATAACGGGAGCATAGTGAACGAAGAAAGAAACGTACGATGAGAAACACTGCACCAATGAGGGTAGCCTTCATGTTGACATGCAAATCCATGGGAAATGAAACACCGAAAGTATCGGCATCTGTGTATAGCTCTTGTATAATGTTAGTCCATTGCTTTTTGATCAGACCGACCTCTGTGGTGTTGTCGACGGATAGAACCTGAATGTCGTCACAGATAAAATGACGGAACAGACAGTAGTGAAGAAAAATCATGGATAGCACGCCAAGACAGGAGGAAGTATACGCAAAGGTTACATCAGAAATATAATCGGAAAATCCAGCGACTATTGTTGCTCGAGTGTGGTCAATTGGAGTGAAGACCGAATTGAAAAAGTTTAGGGTGGTTCTCTATACCTTTCGTATAAATCTGGGGTTTCAAACACATAACAAATGGGGGCAAGAAGACTCTTGGTAGCCAAAAATATACGAGGGAGGCTGCATCAGAAGAAAAACCGTGCATCCTCGGAACCGAAGCAGATCAGCTACCAACCGATGGCACACAATCCATCTCACCGAGGTGAGACTGCACAGTGTAAGAATTTGCTTGACTATATCATCCACTGCAGTCTTAAGTAGTCCTTTCACAGGGCTTGTTCAATAAGTGGCTGAGCAATTTAGACGCTTGATCAGACCATTCAATTTTGGAGTGTGCAATATACCGTTTATGGCTTAATCCACGAGTCATCGGCTCGAAGTTACTCAGGTGGGGTGCCTCACATTACCTCGAACTCACTTCTGATGCCTTTTCTCTGTGTACATCGGAGCTACCCATACGAAACAATTTGGTGGTTAAAGGTCAAAGGAAATCAGTCATCACAGTTTCCTCAAAATCGATTGAGTAATGATACATGGATATCTTTCGCACAACCATGTGTACGGTTTGTAAACTCAGTTCGACTGGCGTAGAGTACCAACGTCAAGAAGTATCAGTGACGGTAGGGGAAAATTAGCCCAGCTCGTTTGCTTGCTACTGTCAGTCTCAGCTGAGCCACTAGAGAGCAACCTCCCAGAAAATAACCAGCCATTCTTGGTGGCTGGCTAGCCATACAACCTTCCTGCCGTGCCAGCTGGGTAATTCGGGTTAATGTCGTTCCAGCGAATGGTTCGGCGGCAGTTTTCTCGGAGGTGGTGGATTTCCGCCTGATAAGCATTCTCCCTATGACGTAGCGGATGTGACTCGCCACTAAATAAAGTCACTGTCTCTTACTTTTCCGGGGTATCTTACCCATTTCACGTACGTCATCGAATTCGAGGTGTTCCTTCGATCCCTTCCTACGATGGTCAAACCACCGAACAAAATCATAAATTCAGAGTCATACTAACAAATATACTCAACATGGCTACTTACACATACATCTACATGCACGCAAATCCCGCATAGTACTGGTTAACTTTTAACATGTTTTTTGCACTTACCGATCACACATGTTTGGATTACCATAATCCAGGCGTGCCTCGCACTTCCGAGAATAAACCATTTATTTATTTATTTATCTACGAAGAAAAAACGAATTGAAATGCGCATTAAGCAGTATTCTACCGACTAGTACTTACAATGATAGCCGACTGGAAATACTATGCTTTGTGGTCGGTGTCACAATACAGGCATATGCAAACCGATTTGTACCCATAATCCTCGGATGCATTAAGTTCCAATCCGTTGTAAGCTTATTCCGAGCTATTAAATTAGCATATATGTTCACAGCATAAATGTAAGTAACCTAAAATAGTGCGTCGTAGGTCTCTGGAAGCACACCAGTTGGCTGGACCTGGTCCCGTTATCATGAGTAGCAGAAGGCTAATTAAAGCGTTCCCGACGAAGTATTGAAAAACCTCGTTATCCGTGACGCTGTCTTTTGCGTAAGACAGTTGAACTAGAAGGTACACGCGCAACATGGCACCGGACTGCGCGGTGTTGTCTGCGAAACACGCATATGAGACTGTTATAAAGGTATACCTGTAACGGCTCACCTAGTCGTAACGAATGACAATACCGGAAGCGGACAGCTCGGTCTTATCGCAACTGTCTCAGCACAAATTCGACTCGGACGCTGACAGTTAGCGCACCAAGATGCAACAGAGGCCAGAGTTTGGGAAGAAATATTTCATGACTTAAGTATACAAAGCTGCACAGTCTTGAATTTATACGGAAGTGAGCGACGTATGTGGATATCCAAGTAGCACATTGCACTTTCAAACGTGAGAAAGCGTGGGTGCAGTGAAATATGTGGGTTCTTGTGTGCGAAGAGTAAGCAAAAGCTTGTCGGAACATGACAGTTTACATTGACGCTAGTGTCTACGCCAAAATTGAGTAAAAATAGGCGTTGCTTACGTGGTCAGTTCCTATGCAATTTCTTCGGAACGCGTGTTCACCATAAAAGAAACAGTAGCGTCTTAAATAAGCCTCCGCTACCCACATCAGATGCAGGTGATGACTGCTATTAAACTCAAGTACTTGATGGTGCGCGTTAACAACCTCAGGTATCCGGAAGATCGATACTACACTAGACAGAAATGCACAGAACACGTTCGTATGACTATACGTGTGCGCGATTCCTATTTACTAGTTCACCGGTGATAACATATGAAGTAAGAAGGTACGCTAGGAGTCGTTATCCCACTATTTAGTACCCCCGGGTGCGACCAAGAAGCAATCAGAATGAATTTACTGGAGTAACCCTCAACTGCCCGAAATCGTGACTGCCACGCGTCAGAGACCGAATAATGTACGCGTGGTTGTTTGAGAGTCGATGTCCACTGGACAAATAGTGGTGTTCGGTTTTCCCAATTAGTAGTTCGTGACAAGCTTAGATCAGTAGTATAAATGCAAGCATAAGTGCGAGTTTGTTGCCTACGCTCCCCAAACCAAAGGACACCCCGAATGCCGGGAGACCGGACTGTAAACATTCGCAGATGCTGCATTCAAGTGCAAAGTCATCGATCGATATGGGCAACATGCCCACAGCCTCAGCAAAGCGCCAAACTTGGGGAATTAGTTTACATCATCTGAGGTGGTAGTTGGGGATTCAACGATGACAGGGTGAATCAGTCCATTAGTCGTCATCGGTGATTGAGATGAATGGAGTCACCGCTGGTACGTTTAAAAACAATCTGCCCGAAGTACGACGTCTCAATTCTGGATGGGTAACTGAAGCATTTAGTGACTCCAATGAATTAAAGAAGATTCCATTAAGAAGACAGTTTTACTGTCCGAAACACACTAGGATGGACGGGATGAAGGAGTCAATGAAAATGGAGGCCAACAAGTAGTTGGTGGTCGAACTGTTCACTAAGCTCTTAGTGAAGACATCGGCTTGACTGATGAAGAATCGTGAGAACAATATTACCAGGCTAAGCGAACAGTTAGGCTACTAAGGGAACAAGCTGACCTTCCTTTCTTAGGTATGTAAAGCACGGGTTAGAAAGATTTTAGAATAAGGTGACAATACAGTAAAACCTATGAAGCTGACCACCCCTTCAAGCTGACTGCTTTTTCATAGCTCAAACGTTCAGCATGTAAACCATATGGAATCCGACCTGTGTGGAGAACGTCTAAGTTTTCTGTTGACCATTTGGGCTATAAAAGTCATAATCATGTTGACTTCTATAACTTGACCATGTGAAAGTTTACTGTGTAATGGGTGCTGAACTAAGTGTTAGTCCAAATAATAAGGTGCATGTAGCAGGATTTTGTAATGTATGAAACGCTCCTATACTAAAATCACTGCAATTTACTGCTCGGGAGATTTTCGACAATACATGATTTTATAAGTGGGGATGCACCACATTTAGACTAGGTCGGACAGCCATCATATGACTAGAAAAGCGCTGCATGGCCGTTTCATCCTTAAGGGAATCGTCAGCAGTGCGCGTTCCATCGACTTGTAGGGCTCGAACCCATAAGTTGACTTTCCTCAGCCATTGGTTGAGATCACTGAGTCAAGGGGGACGGTAACGGCAATTGTCCTTAAGATACTAAATGCGATAGAGCGCCGCCAAGTATTCCCTGACGCACGTTACTACCGTGCAGAGGGCAGGTATCCCCATTAACAGCACGCGCAGTACCTCATGATCCATCATCAAAAGCTCGACGGAGATGTGTATTAGTGACCTTGGAATTAGTCTAATAAAGGAAATATCACAAATGCTCAGTGAAAAATGATAAGTAGGCAGCAGATAAAGCAAGAGCGGTGCTCCAGTGAAATTTGATACGTATTAGTCAAGGGAAGTAAACCTTCGGGAGAGTATGCTCTATAGGGTCCAGAACCCTAGGTAAGGAAAACTAGTCTGGACAGGACATTGTGTAATCAACAACTGATAGGACGCATTCACTGGCGAACGATGAGATATAGTAAATAAACGTTTTTTCGGCTACGCGGGGCACGCCTTTAAAAGCATGATTATAGTAATAGTACAACAATTGATCAAGTAGTGTGCAATATTTTAATATGATTTTCATATATGTGGATGCATAAATGTCTGCAGGTAGGTATGTTGCTTGTGTTTGTAAATGTGTTGCTGTTCCTTTGCGTTCGATCGCGACGCCAGTGTCCAAAGGAATGTTTGACGACTGCAGATTTGATAAGATTGTCCGAGTAAGCAAAGGTGTTTGTGCGAGCGTGCATGAATGTGTGGTTTCCGTCCACCTGAGTGCATTAAACACTGGCCTTCAGTGTGCTTGTGACAAAAAGTTAAAGGGCGAGTTAAAGGCCCTCAGTCGACACAGTCCATCGCTCAGTTCCGATCATTACACTAACTTGCTAAAGTACTCCTGAGAGATGTGTGAACATTTTAGGTGCTCTGCGCTCGCGCACATCTCAGGTCGCGTCGGAAGAGTGTGCGTTGTCAGATGCATTCCTTATGACAAGCGATACTAGGAAGAGTTGTCTCACTTTCATACTTTTGTTCAATTTCGTCATAGGCACACTAGAGTGTTCCCTTGTGAAAGATTATATGATAGGTATTGAACTCCAATTTGGGGGGGGGGGGGAAGTGGTTAGTACGAGGTCAGAAAAACGTCAGTTATACATCAGTAACTCCTAATGACAGTTCCCTGAGATCCATGCAGGTGAATGGACTAGAACCCGGGATGCAGAGGTTACAAGTCGGACGCCTGAAATACCGAATGACGAAAAAAAGTGTCATGGTGCTCGGCAATTCCGAGTGGCACACAGTTTGTGTTTGGTATGCACTTTACACCTTCAGAGTTCCGAACATCTTTGCGGTATCACCGACCACTTATTGGTCTCTTCATGCCAGACAAGGAAGAAAGTAAGATGGCCAAGCAATTTATCAATCTTGAAGGCTGTGTTGGTAGCGATGGATGTGACAGCTGAGACAATTTACCGTACTGAGAAAGATAAAGTTATCTTCAACAATCTGCAAAACCTTTGGTACTGGGAGTCTTACTTTTGCATGTGATGTACACGGGGTCACAGAATTGTTCATGCACGGTTGTGAGACTTCGACCCTATGTATGAAGGACTAAAAGCTATCGGGTCTTTGATCAATGTTTTCCACGAAGTAGTACTTGTTCCAAGTGATAACAGTGATTCCACAACGATGAGTTGTGCAAAGGCATCCTAGGTGGCTAGTATAACGTCCGCCAGCTAGGTGAACGAACAATACTGCATAAGTTGCATTTGCTCGTCAACGGTTACTGAGGCGGTCCCATTTGTTTAGTTGAGTTGGGATAGCACAACGTTCAAAGTAGTACTCCTCGATCTGACAGTGGGAGGCAAAGAGTTTGACCACCAGTTGCAGTATTTTTTGTCCGTTCTCGTCTTCAAGTTTGGAGTCCAGGCGAACCGTCCCGTGCATAGCGACATGAAATATGCGGTTTTGAAATCGATTCCGAAGGACGGTGACCCAAGCAAAGTGGACAGTAACTGGCCAATTTTTCTCACTCCTATTAATGCCGAAAATGCTCGTGAAGAAGACTCTGCTGCAGCTGTGGGAATAGAAAGACTTCTTAAAGCCGGTACCACACTCTTTGATGAAAGGCCGTTCATGCATCACCAACTTGCTCGTGATGTGACATGGATGGTTGCAACAGTTGAACCGGAAGAGTCGGCCGATGTGATCTACGCTAATTTCGATAAAATTGCTCGACAAAGTTAAGCATAAGGTCCTCCTCAACAATCTGAGGATATGCGGTAATACTGCTTCACTGCACCACTTGATAAATGACTACCTCGTTGCGAGGAAGTGCAGGTTATAGATCGATGACCATATAACGGATTGGTATCCGCCCACCGGGGGGGTACCTTAAGGTACAGTACTAGGGCCCCTTTTGTTCCTGATCAAAATCAACGAACTACCTCAGCTTCTTCGGTAGCCTTGTGTCTGGATTACATGCAAACTTAAGATTTGGAGAATTACTGATTATTCCGACTACTGCGACGTGCTTAAGCATGACTTCGACCGCTTGCTCATGCAGTCTGCATATGTCTAAATGCAGATGAACCCAATCGAATCGTTATTTATGAGCCCAGGGTGGAATAGTGATGGGTGTACGTACACTGTGACCAGCCAACCGCCGCACCCCATAACTTCCGTGAAAGATTTCGGTGCACCTCCACAGTAAGATTTGAAGTCCGGATATAAAACGTACAAGCTATATGAAGACCGACTATGCATGCTCTGGGTGCTCAAACGCAGCTTCTGTATTTGGTCTGAAGAGTTTGTCACTCATCTCTTCTCTTCCACCATAAGACCGAAGTTCGAGTACCGATCGTCCAACTATTGTCTGATCACCTGCTGCGAGTTGCAGAGACTGGAACAGGTTTAACATGTATCTACCAGACTCGACCACAATTGACGGGGTATGTCGTACGAAGATGGATGCAGATGACTGGAGCTGAACACCCAGTTGTATCGTCGGTTCCGAGTGAACTGTATAATGATGCACCAGGTGAATTCCTTATGCTGAGGTCGCCGTTGCATGTGTGCCCAGCTAGCATCACACGCGGGCAACAGTACAAGTTTGTGGTACCGGACCTAAAGCGGGTAGCTCACCCTCTTGGGTTTGAGTGGCGAGTGGTAAACTATTGGAACAGCTTGCCGGAGAAAATAGTCGAGGCGGAATCGGTGTCGGTGTGGCCCACTTTGCGCGATCCAGAATTCGAGAAAGTATCGCACCTGAAATTGAAGTATTTTGACAATACGCGGTAATAAAGCACGTTACTAGGTGTACGTGACCGATAGTATACACAAGTAACAACATAGATAATCCAGCTACGCATTTCGAGTATACATCATCATACACAACAGTGTATTAGTTTGTTTGTAAGTGAGATCCGGCTGTTGAAGTTGAACAAAGCCGCGGGACCAGATGATCTACCTCCAGCCCTCTTCAAATTCGGAGGCCCTGCTCTTGTGGATGCTTTGCATGAATTACTAGTGAAACTGTGGGAGCAGGAGACTGTCCCAACCGACTGGAGCCGCTCCGTTATTGTTCCCATCTACAAAGGAAGCTCACGATCGGAATGCGGCAACCAAAGAGGAATCAGTCTGATCTCCATCGCCTCCAAATTACTCGCCTCCATAATTCTTCACAGACTGACTGGCGCTCGTGAAAGCCAGATTCGTGAAGAGCAAGCCGGGTTTCGTCGTGGTCGTGGCTGCATTGACCACATCTTCACTTTGTGTCAGTTGTTGGAGCACCGCCACACATATTGGCGGCCCACCGTAGTCGTGTTCCTCGACATCAAAGGTGCCTTCGATTCGGTTGATCGATGTACCCTTTGGAATTGTCTACTCAGGAAAGGTGTGCCCGAGAAATATGTAAAGATTATCCAAGCATTATATGCGCGTAGCACGGGCAGAGTGAGGGCTTACGGCAAGCTGTCGCCACCCTTCAATATCTCCAGCGGTGTGAGACAAGGATGTCCGCTGTCACCTTTCCTCTTCAACTTCGCTATTGACGAAGTCATGGAGTTTGCATTTACAGGACATGACTTGGAAGGTGTGGAGCTACTCCCAGGAGAACGACTTTTTGACTTGGCGTACGCAGACGACATTGCCCTCATCTGTGACAGCTCCCAGACGTGCCAAGCCGCGCTAGACAGATTAGCACTGGCTGTCAGCCGCTTCGGGCTTTGCTTTGCACCATCGAAGTGCAAAGCGTTCCTCCAAGATTGGCAGGGATCGCCTCCTGCGCTGACCCTTGGTGGGGATCAGCTAGAAGTCGTTCAGAAATTCAATTACCTGGGAAGTTGTATCAGCGCCCTTGGGATCGAAGACGACAGCACGAACCGTATAGCAAAAGCTCGAAGTGCTTTTGCTAACCTTCGCCATCTTTGGCGGCGGCGCAACATCACTCTCGCCCTGAAGGGTAGAGTGTACAATGCAGCGGTACGTTCGACCTAACTGTACGGTTGCGAAACCTGGCCCATAAGATCGGCGGACATGAAGAGGCTAGTTACGTTCGACCATCGGTGCCTTCGCAGTTTGGCTCACATATGGTGGGAACACCGCGTGAGTAACGAGCGTGTTCGATGCATTGTTTACGGCCCAGGAAAAGGATCTGAACCGCTCAGCCACGTTATTTCGCGCACCAGGCTCCGATGGCTCGGCCACGTGTTACGCATGCCAGCCCACCGACTCCCTCGACGTGCGTTGTTTGCTCACCGGGGATGTGGGTGGAAGAAGAGGTGGCCAAGCGATGACTTGGTCGAGAGGAATGAAGTCCCTCACCTCGGAGCTAGCCTCGGTTGGAGCTTCACGGCTCCCTGGTTGGGGTCCAAAAGACGGTGAACACGTTTGGCTGGATACACTTGCTGACATGGCAAGGAGCCGACCTCAGTGGCGTTCATGCTGTGAGTTTCTTTTTCCCGCCCCATCCCTTTTAGCCTCCCCATCCATCTACGATCTCATTTCCTAGGGTAAAACATAATATTTTTTTTCTTTTTGCCTAGTAGCTAGCTGGAAGCTTACCGGAACGATGCCTATCCGTTGCTGGTAGCTCAGCTGGCATGCAACTGTTGTATCTACTTTCCTTTGTGTATTGTATTGTATGTATGTATTTCCTTCATGTATTGCGGCACAATAGCGGAGGTGTTTTTTCCACCTCTAGCTGATGTGTATAATGATGATGAGTAGGGGATTTATTGGATGTGCGACGAATCTTCAAAAAATCCAATAAATCCCCCTACTATTTTCAAATAATCAGTAATCGCCTTAGCAGCCTACATGTCACCTTGAACGCTGGCGAGTTGCAAAGGAAATCATTGCTCTGGGGGCCAGCCCTGTCCTTTGCACGTTTATAACATGCATGACAGCGGAGGATGAGCAGAGCTATATCGCAATTAGATGGCGATGCGCTGCCATCGCCTATGGATCAGTGGCATAGGTCACTGGCTGGTAAGAATAAGGTCGTGGGTTCGAATCAGGCAGGATTTGGCGGGTGCATGCTACCGACGAGTCCAAATAGGACGAAACGGCCGGCTAGCGCTTTTCCTGATGTGTGGTGGCTGTCTGCTTGAGTCTAACTGCGACGTAGCTTCAAAAAAACAGCGTATTATTTCAGCCCGATGACTCGTGACCATACAACCATGAAGTATGGAGAGTTAGCCAACAAGAGTATGAAGCCAGTGGTTGAGAAGGAAGGTGGACGAGGATGGTAAGTGGCAAAGTAACTGCTCCGCGAGGATGCACATGCTTGTCTGGTGAATAGTTGTATTTAGGTTTGTTTGTAAAATATAAATTTCAGAATCGAGGGAAGCACGCGCGACTGTGTGAGACAGAGTATTAGATTCGTGCATAGATTAGACGAAATTTTCTCAGACTGACTGAAATTTGTAAACAAAGGTGAATGGCAAAAAGAATAGGGGGCAGCTAGACATGTTCTCTAAGAAGCGCAACAGAAGAGTAATTGGAGAGAAAATACCTTGAAATCTATGTCTTCACCGAAGCATGTGCAGTGAAAATAGGACGGGCCGTGGATGCGCAGGACAATGTGGCCACTTGCATCCTTCACGTCGTACCAGATGCTGCAGCCATGGTACACTTGCTTCACATAGCCAACAAGTTGACCGATCGGGGCCTCCACTTCTAACTCATCCTGACAGCAATCGATACAGCTTTGACACAAAAAGAAAGGAGGTGTAGCGGAAACTATAGTATGCTGCAATAGTACCTGAAATCAGCGGCTAAAATAACTAGACAGCGATGGCACCTCGTATTCCGTAGCACAAACAGAATAAGAACTAACATGATGGTATGTATAATTACCAACAGGTATTTTAGTGCCGGATTCAAACCAGTAAAATTTATCAGAACCGTTGGCAGCTACCTATTGATAATTGGCCTCATTGACAATGCAATATGGACCCAAGCGAGTGGGATCAGGAAAGGGGAACGAACTGGTATGTCTGTGACTCACGTACAGACCTCCCACCGTTTTCAGAAGCGGCTGAGACCGTGAAAAGCTATAGTGACTTGATGATAAGTGATACAACAACCCAAGTGATTTGGCCACCAAAGGTAGTACAACTGTTAAGACAAATGAACCGATCGAGCAATTTGTGTGGTAGATAACATGAGAGTCAACGCACACAACAATGCCTTGGCACTATGAAGGTGCAAAATACCGAGGTAAGGGGAGTTTATTGTTAGCCCATTCAGATGCGCCAGGAAAGAAGATGACTTCGACTAGATGACAGCATTGACGCCGCCATATTATGGGCGCATTAAGCGGCTGCCTAAAAGAGCTGCCATTCCGGAAAAGAATGGGAGATAGAGTTAATTAGGGTCATAACGAGTATGTAGTGTCAATATACCACACCAAGCACGCTTACCAAACGGGCGAGCTAAAGGAGTTTGGGCCGACGGAAACTAAGGGATAGTGTGCAATTGATTTGGCTCGACACGAATGAAGCTCGGGCGCCATCCGAGAAAGCGATAGTAGGAAGAAATGTACCGCAGTTGTGAGTGACTCCAGTTGATGTGATAAATAAAACGAACTTGTGTTCCTTAAATAAGAGAATTTGATACAGTCCCGAACTTCGTTCCTTGATTGTCTGAGGGACATCATGATAGTGTACGAAGTTGAAAGGGGAGTGATTACTTATAATGTGTCGTCCCAATGATACGACGCTCCACTCTATTTTGGATTTACCGCACACAATTCTGTGCCTACACTCATCTAACTCGGATTTACGGGCGTCATCCGGTGGATCTACCAAAAAAGGATTGTTTAACGCAAGCCACCGTTGCATCCGTTAGAGCAATTTCAGCGGATTTTCACAGAAACCCACGAGCGCATCAACCTTATTTTTCGAGTGCATACCATTCTTGTTACTCTCATTCTACAGTGCTCTTAGCGCGATATATACCGATCCTTATACCACAGGAATGCGGCACTCCGTTTGATAGCTGCAGCTCTTTTAGCGGCCATCATCCTAACAGTTGCTAAATTAGCGTGAATTCGGCCAAGCTCATAAAAGCCCAACGTTCCACCCAGTCGAAGCACGGCACGATCGATAAACCAGCGCCCACTACTTACAAGAGAAAAGTCGCACGATAACCTTTGTCAGCTTTGTTCGCAGCTGTGGTCCCACCCGCAGGACACAATCAGCTGACATGGTATGCCTGACCCGAAAAGATCGGTGTGCTGGACGTTGGTAACGAAATGGCGATCGCAGTTTACTCACGTGACTGACATCTCGGCATCGTACCCAGAAGAGGAACAAAGAAAATAAGATGTACGGATCACCCAGCCGCAGACGAAAGCCCTGACCATTCGAAATCGTGATCCAAGACTATTTGAATTGGAGAAACATGTAACTACGGTAAGAAAGTCTATCCCAAGTGGTAAATCTACTAGTAACGGGAGCAAAAAAACGACAATGCACACTAGATTCTATCTGGTTCTGCAGAGTGTATGATCAATCCACTCGTAATGTGCATCGCCAGCAGTCACAACAAATTGGCAAACTGACAACAATTGTGCAGAGTGCTAAAGCTGGTATAGTGGCCGCATCTGAACCAGCTGCAGTAGCAATAAAATTCCCGTTGTCTAAGCGTATGCCCAAGCCTAAACCGGAATAGCCAAAACTAGGGTATAGTTAAAAGCGCAGAGACAGCAAACACAAAAGGAGAAATAGCACACAGGCGGAAAAAAAAGTCTGTCAACCCCGACCAACGCGGACTATGGAATCGCGCAACCAATCAAACAAATGAATTCCAGTGCCAGAATCTCCAGCTCTGTGATGTAGGTCAATGCCATTTCCGAGTCATGTTAGGCCATACAGGTAGCGACTTAAGCTAACCAGATATCAATATAGTCTGGTACGCTAACAGGTTACTCCATCCGATGAACTAAGTTGAGTCAGGCTACTGTGACATGCGCGCACCGTCGTGTGGGTGGTTCCTTAGGCAAGCGCTATGGGCCAATAACATGTCGAATGCATAGTAGACACAGCAACGTGTAGCCATGTGTAGGGTAGGTAGGTTAGGGGAATCACTACAGCCCGGAGTTTGCTCCTGTGCGACTTGGTACATGGGCGGTGACGGATTACATGACGGCGGATGGGGGTAGTACCTCGTTAACATCTGAGGTCACCCACGGCAGGCTAAGAGGAAACGGGGTCAGTGTATGATAAGGAATTTGAGCGCGATTCACAACACCATTATAACAGAGCCTGTTATGGAATCGGGTCACTGGCTACTCGCATTCTGACACGGCCGACAATCTGTGTCACTAAGCTAAACCCCAGGCGCTTGTCTGTACGATCTATCGCGTGCTGTGAACACATGGCGCGCACCGGGCACTAGGCGCAATACTAGTGGCGCATTGCAGCGCGTAGGCCATAGGTTACTTTAGTCAAACCGCTAAATCGCATGTGCACCGGTAGACATAGGCACATGCACTGGTGAGATGGTACAAGCGCAGAAATCTTTCTGGCGTCCTACGATTGCGATGGGCGATATATCAAGATGGACATTAAGATGGTAATGCAGCTGACATATGAGTTGTCTTAGTGCTTGTTCCACGGCTAGCACGCAATGCGCCTCAAAGCAACGTGTAAAAGTTACACTGAGTCTTGTTTAGTAGGGGCAATTAAGTGAATGCTGAACGAGTCCCGTAGGTAGGTAGGGGGTAGACCCAAAATCCAAAGATTATAGTGACACCACAGTTAGGCGTATACTAATGCTGCGGTGATACCATGATTTGCTATGGGTAGAGAAGTAGCGATGCAAGACGACGCTGAGAATGGGATGTCTACACAGGGAGCGACTTACGGGCTGGTTGTATGCCGTCGCGTGCTCCCACAGGAATGCCTTCCTACTGAGGGCAAGTGTGATTGAGTCTCGCTTGTTCCGCAGACAATTAGCGCAGCATATCAGAGCGTGGGAAGTTCGACGCTGTCCATCTGGTTATGTATTACATACCACAAAGCCAATGTTTCCGCACATAGAGTGAGTGACCAACCATTTTTTAACCAGAATGAAGTATCTAACGGAGGGTGGATGAACAACCTAGCTTAGTACTCGCTTCTGTGTGGACTACCATCGACCATTAAGAAGGTGTTTGAGCCACCTGGCTTTCGACTGTGTTCGCAATCAGCAACGAGTCGGATGTTTCAGGAAACGGTTCATGGTCCCTTTACTGCTATACTCGTACTGTTCCGGTGCCATAGGTAGTTTGTTGACACTCAAAACTTGTTATCGGCTCTCGACGGTTCGTGACATATGCTAATCGCCTCACTGCTTAGCTGGTAACGGCTTTAAGAACTAAGGCATTGGCTCGGGTTACAGAATAGTTAATCACTTCTCCTACCTGGGTAACTGAAAACTTCCATGTGCAGACAACACACTTGCACATGAATTTACGTAATCTTCAGATCATTTGCAGAATACATGTACGCCAAAGTTATCGGGAGACATAGGTGAAGAAGCCGCGGACTAGGCTGGTGTACGAGTTGTGTTTACTGCGCGCGCAGAAGCAGCGTTAATTGTTTGGATTCTACTTAACGACTAATCCTGTGCAATTTAAGTAAAAGCCTCCATACGATTGTGCAGCCGCGAGGTAACCAAACACTTTTTGGTTGACGCAACAGTGCATGTTCCCACGAGTTACAGCCCGGACTCAGCTAAAGATGAGTTCTACCGTCAACTATTCTACCTACTCATCATCATCATCATCATACACGTTAGCTGGAGGTGGAAAACACCTCAGCTATTGTGCCGCAATACAAAAGGCAAGAAAAGAAAAAAACAAACAAACAGTCCCCTAGGTTCGGTTGACTCCCACATACGAATCCAGCTGCGGCAGGTTTTCACATTCACGTTAAGCACACCAGCAATCTGCTTCCAATCCGCTCCCTCCTCATACGTTTTCCTTATTCTGCGCTTCACTTCATGGAATGGTGAGCATACGGTCCTCTTCGTGCCCTCGTTTTTCGGTAAACTGCATGTTCACAGTATTACTGACAATTTATTTCTCCACCTCTCATGTTCACTCCCCCCCCCCAAATAGCCTGTGTATTGGGGTCAACCGTTTGCCTCTATCCCATCTCGCGAAACTGGCTGTCTCATTGACCCAAAGTTGGTCAGCTGTTTGCGGTCAGTCATCTGCCTGTCGGCGTTGCCTATTCGTCATCGCTGCAAGACCCCAGTGTGCAGGTGATTTTTCCTTCAGTTGCGTCTGCTCATTTCATAACTAGCAGGCCGGTCTTTCCGTCGTTTTACCAGTAACCGAAATCACGTTAATAAGTCGCGGTTCGGCTGTAACTCATTTCTACTTATGCAAGTGAAGCGTACCACACTAATAATTTCAACAGAAGAGGTGGATTCTGTAGTCAGCGGACAACGCACCTGCAACTGACCTGTTTACACTCCCTTCTGAGTGGGGGGAGGGCCGGAACCTGTAACGATTCTAGTACATACAAGCGCGTGATCAGAAGTGAGTTAAGTGCTTCAACTTGATCTGCTGTCCCATCAACAGCCTCGTCAATGATAATCGATCACCATGTGGTCAGTCTTTATCCACGACCGTGAGCAGTAGAGATCTGTGGCGCTCGATCTCCTCAATCCTGTAGCCTATAGTTAACCACCTTGTCTCGTAATCTGACAACGC